CTTGAATCTCACCACTCACCTCCGAGGATAAGAAAGCATGTAGCCATACAGATTCAATACATGGTGCACAGGAGCAGGGCTGACTTTATAAACCATGTCGGGTCTACACAAGTAAGACGTAGTTTATGCGCTGTTGTCTACCTTATGGGGCAGACTTGACGTCCTAATAACTAAGCATCAGAAATTCGAGGCAAAGTTTTGACATGAAAACGTCAACTGAAATAACATGTAATTCAGCGTCAGAGTTCTGAAACTTTTGTTTTTTAATCTCAATTGAATTATTTGACATTTGACTGTTTAATTAGATATGTTCGTCTAATTATGATCCACTAGCGACTTTAATTAATTAATTTCAATTGAGTTATTTGAAATTTGACTGTTTAAATAGATATGTTCGTCTAATTATGATTCATCAACTACTATAAGTAATTGAGACATTTCTGTTAAACCGTTCATTATACAACATATATTATATAACGTGTTATGTATATTCCAGTGACAAGTTGGGTTTAGGTTTGGGTTTCATAAATACAAGGATTGTTCTGCAGAAAGACCGACGTATATTTCGGAAAATCTATCACCTTTTTATCATCTGACCCCACGCTGGAGGCCAAAACTTTGTCGTAATCTTGCCATCTGGTGCTGCTTGCTGTGACGGCCTTCAACTCTTTTAAAAAAATAAGTTAAAAGAATTGATTGTTTTCCTTGCCGTTGTTTTGCTCCAAATTATTATCTAAAAGATAAATCTGTAAGTAAATTTGTCAAAGTCGAACGCTACTATTTTCATAAAAAGATGAGGCAAACATAAGTATGTTTGTTCTTCAACATTTTTTCTCCAAAGTCCTATTTAGGAAACGGTCTTCATTGTACAGTTGTAATTACATCTGGCGGCGCCTTTAAAGAATTACGCGTGGCGACAGCGTGTACTTCTGTGCATATCATGATTGATTCCTTTTGTTTAATGACTGATTCAGTGGTACGTGTTTGATATCGTTAAGTGAATGTACGTGTGTTGTTTGATTATTGGCTTGTTTTTATTTAATAACGTTATAACGACCGAAGTTATGTAACATCGAATGGAATATTGATTTGTGAATGATAAAATAGAAAGGAAGCGGTGGTCGTCGGCTATTTCAAGATACTATCCAGACATTCTCCTCTAGAACTAGCGAAAACCTACGAAAATTATTGGAATAAACGACCTCCCGTCCGAGATTCGAATCCGTGGCCTACAAAATACGAAGCACAGAGACTAACAAACCAATGACGATTTTTGAGGCGCATATGTGTGAGTGTATCTGATGTTCTTATGGGTAAATAACAGCTGAAAACGATACGGGAGCGTTAGAACATCAAAGTTAGTCCGTGTTAAATTGTTGGGAGTTTTTTCTCCCTCATATAAGTATATTTCATCTCCGTGACTACAAAACAGATTTCAGTTTAATTTGGCATTGATTTTTCACAGAATTTGACTAAAAGTATTTTATTAAGATCTATGTTTGTCCTGTACAACGCGAACCCAAGAACTTCCTCCCCACTACATAGTTCAGGAGATGCAGAATTATAGTGTGATATTGCGTTATATAACGCATTTTTGTTTTTCATTCTTGTTGACAGGATAAGAATGGAACATAACGTACGTATGTTATGGTAATAGTGAGTAACTGTTAATTACGAATAACTGGTGATTATGTATAATTACCGCTTGTGATTTCGATTATTCATAATAACGGCATCATTCTCTTTTGCTGTAGTATACATATTTGTTTGTTTTGGCAATATATTTCTGTGCACACAAATAAGATTGTACCCACTCGTTATCGACGTTCTTCATACAGGAGACGCCGCTAAATTTTATGACGCACTTAAAGTTGTTCTGACTAAACATCGAAAGTTCGAAGAAAAGTTTTAAGAATATAACATGTAATTCAGTGGCACAGTTTTGAAACTTTTCTTTTATAATTGAAATTGAGCTCTTCGGTATTTAAATGTTTGAAGATGCGGGCTTATAATTACAAGTCGGCAGAGACTTCAGTTAATTTTTATTTCTAAGTCCTGTGAACCTATTCATTATGTAACGTGTTACGTATTTGAATTAAAATTTCTATATACGTCAGAATATGCGAAGGTTGACAGAATTATTTTTGCCCATTTTGACGGTTTTGCTATATTGTAGAGGGACATCAACTTGGACATGACCTTGCCGATTGATATGGAAATCATAGTGGCATACTATATTAAGGCGCAATCTCAAGTAGAAATATGTTTTGAAGGTTTTCAAAAATGGTGATATGGAGTTATCTTTATTTAAAACAAACACTCCAGGGGAGACGAAATATGTCACAGAAATAAAAAACTGCCCTTGTAATGGGTTTCGATAGTCGAAGCTTCATTTTAGAGAAATGTTTATCATGTCTTAATAGTAGCAGTACTAGCAGCAGACGCAGGACACTCGATATATTTAAACTACTCGACACTGGGAGGTGTTTTAGACAAATGATAAGTGGAGCTCGAAAAATTATGCCAAGTCCTACTCATGAAGCTAAGAATATGACTTTCCATACTAAAGCCTTTTTAAGAAATATTCTATCATCAATAGAGGCTGTGAATTCCAAACTGCTGAATTATGTGAACCAATTAAATACTTTTATGTCATTGGGATAGATGGAACTTTTCCTCCACATAAAAACAACCAATAGGGTTATGTCAAACCTTAAGCCACATTACTTTTTTAAAGGTCTGTTATCTGCTCATTTATCTCTACATGTGCTTTTAAACCAGTTTTACTCTCATTTATCTAATCACAGTTAACATGACAGGATTAGTTCACTAGGTACTCAGCATATTGACATGTTTCAAAATTCTGAAAATTTATTCCGTGTCTGTTAATGTTAATGTTTGTTGTGAGTTTGTGTTTGCCAGCTCATAACCCATCTTACCTGTGGCAAGCATGCAACCAGTATTTTTCAGGCCCTGATGGAAAACACTGGATTAATCAGCAGACAGAATTATGGGGCTAAAAGGAAGAGGACTGGAATAACCCTGAAAGGAAATTTAAAAATCAGATTAAAATTAAATTATAAGAATACATTTCACATATGGGAAAAATCAGATCATACAACAATTTGAAACATTTTAGATTTTATGTAATTATAAGTAAATATGTAATGAAACTGTATATTTATTCCTTTACATAGTTAAAGTAGCAGGACTAAATTGTCTTATATTGCTATGGAATAAATGGAATTAATATTTATAAAACAACCACATTTACATTCATATTAATCACAATCAAATATGTGCCACCTACCAATTAACACCGATTGTGGAAGAAAATTGTGTGGTGACACATGCATAACATTTCTCCATGTTTGATTCTGCTTCAGATTTCACATATCACACTGCAAATTCTGAAAGTTAATAGAAGTTAAATTCCCCTATGTTGGCATGATTTACAGAGAATATTTCAGGTGACTGTGGTAACCCTGAGCGGAAAGAGTACTGGAGCAAGTTGTGCACATTTTTCAAATGTATTACATTTACTTTGTACCATATAATTTTAGAAACAAAGCTGCTGGTACTCACATGCAAAAGGGATAAGAAGGCAACATTTTTACATTTAACATGTTATTCCCTCATTCATTAATAAATATCTCCAAACTTTCATGGCAGTTTGTAGCTATTTTGTTTTTAAATACTGGATGATGATATACGTATATTGTGTTTAGCTCTGGCTACAAGTTACTATCTAAGTAGTTTAAGTAAGATACTGATTTGTGTCTTGTTAGATGGGCATTAATCAAACAACTTTTGATTTAGCAGAAAGTGAATCTTAGTATTCTATAGAATCTTCCTCCATCTGAAAAGGGGCATAATTTCCAGTTTAATTCCTCATTTTCAACATATCTATCAATTACAGCATAATATTTTGAACTACCTCATAGTCTGCAATTATAAATAAGGGTTCCAATCCACTGTTAATCACTATGCTTTGAAGATGGAGACAAACAGGTTCTCTGAAATGCCAGCAAACCAACAAACCTAAACACAGTGTCATCAGTCTAAAATGGAAACAATATATGCTGTGAAATTATAATTTTTGTTTTAGAAAAACTTCCTCTTCTATGGCTCTCCGGTCAGTATTCGGTCCATGGCCTCCTCAATTCTCCTCTTCCATTCAGTCCTATTGTTAGGTCCATTCTGTCCAAGGCTTTCATTGAGGTTTCGAAACATCTTCCTTTTACGGTGTGCAAGGCTGTTAGCATTGCTTTTGCATGTTGTGTCTGTTTCATGATAAAATCAATGCTGTAGGCCTATTTGTTAACTAACTTGCAAACTTATACAAGTTAATATATGACATACTATTTCAACAACTTGCTGTGTTGTAATGTCCACATTCTGGTGGTTGGACTGCCAACACCTTGTTCTGAGAAACTGCTTCATTATTCATCAATAGTGTATGTATTGCCATTTTCATCATCTTCATCAGTGCTTTTACCTGGTGACATGTCTTCTTGGATACTTTCAGTGTTTTCAGATTCTTCATCATTATCTTCTTCAGCATCATTATATTCTTCAATTTCTTCTTGAACCTTCTTTTCATCATCTTTCTCATTCAGTACTTCATGATCATTTTCACCCTTTTCTACAACTTCAGTTTCTTCAACATCTTCATTCTCAGTTTTAAAGTGAACTGTCTCAGGAGTTTCACTAACAGACACTTTGAATTCTACTTTTATATTCTTATCATATGAAATTTCATTCTGATTCTCACCATCATCTTCCCTTTCATCTTCCTCATACAAATCTGGAGTATTTGGGACAGACATAATCTTCATGTTGTGTCTTAATTTCCTTTCAGGCATTCTATATTTCTTGTGTATTTCCTTCATCATGTACTGAAACATATAAAAGATAATTTTATACAAAATCTGAAACATATTTATTTATTTTATTTATTTATTTATTTAAAAGCAAACATGAGGCAAAGACTATGAAGCTGAATGAGATGTGAGCCCTGTAAGTATAACTTCAGCCAAGTAGGAAACGCTTAGTAGCTAGAAAGACGTGCTCTAGTTTGGAAATATTTTTATTTATTTTTTTTGTTTGCTTTATCCTGCTACCATTTCTATAAGATAATATTTGTGTGATATTTAAGGTTCTCACAGCAGTAAAGACACTGATATTCTTCTGGATTGTCATGACATGTGAACTTGTTGATAGATAACCATTGTTCTGAAGGAATAGTGGTATTTATGAGTCCACACATTATCAAAATCCAGAAGATCAACACTGGCAACATATTATTGAAATAATTAATGAATATTTTATATATTTAATCACATTAACGTTTGGTACACACTCACATTACCTAGTTATGGAGTTAGTTTAGTTAGACATTAAGCAGAAGGACTGGAAATCACATATGACAAATAGGACCAACACTTCCAGTTTACCCAAGACATGCTTCAAACACCAATCTCATTTATAAGCTGTGGTATACATGCCAACATGTCAGCCACAGATTGAGAAGTCTGCCGTTACCTTGCCACAGACCATTGCAATATTCTTACTGTCCAACTTTATGAAAATACAATGAATTAAAAAAAACAGTGTCCTCATAATTGTCTTGGTAAACTTCTGAAAGATGAATAGCACCCTTTAGCATGTGAAGCAGTGAAACACCATTGGACATAAATCACTTTATTCTATATAAGAAACTGGTTATAGTCACCTAGCAACCAGATAAAAGATGGAGGGTGAAAAAAACTACTGAGACAAATGGATTTTTTATGTAATATGATGGGAAAGCAGGAGTGCACAGAACATATGGTTGGGAAATTCAGATGATAAAAGATTGTGCTAATATAAACAAACAAACAAATATGTGTGTCAAATACTGTGAATGAAGCTGTAGTCACTATTACTCTACCTGTGATTGTCTCTCAAACAGTGTTGGTATTTTCTCGACTCTACTGAGCATAAGTTGCATGTCTTCCTGATATTCTTCTCTACGAATTCTTTCTTCTTCACGCCGAGCTTGAATTCGCATAGCCAGGTCCTCCTCTGTGCTGTAGTTAAGAGCTTGCCATGCTGGTTTACAACGTGTAACATGTGCTTTAAATCTTTCCACTTCCTTCTTTCTACTCTCTTCTTGTCTTACTGCCAGTTCTCGTTCCATGCGTTGCCTAAACCCCACAAACAAGAGACAAACATGCATGGGCTATAAAACAGAATTTCCACAAATACATACTAATTCTGAAAACCATGTGTCTGTAGTAGTTTGGTGATATTTCACTTCACATTTAAACTTAATTACACTTCAAGAGAAAATAAGTGTTTAGTCTACTTTCTTCATTTTATAATGTCGTGTTTATGACACCATGTCCCTTGTGTCTGTGTTCCTCATTCAACATGTTTTGAAGTAACTGACAAATTATATTTTTAGCTACAGAATATGAAGTGATGAAATTAATGTATAGAAATGGATAATTCATTTAATATAACTATTAATTTGTAGTTGTAATTAGCTTTGAAATTTAATGTTATGTCAGTTTATAACTGGCAATACTAGACATTAAATAGATATAAGTTATTGATACCTTGAAGACTGAATCCTTAGCACTGATGCTAAATTGTTTCTATTAAGCGGAATGCCCAAGGCTGACTGAGATCGAACATGCCTCCTAGAATCTGTATAAGGATACACTTCATATGGAGATACAGCAGAGCTCTCGTCTGGAGAAGTAAACTTTGCTGACTGAAGTAAATAAATGAAAAATGAATGAGTAGCAGGATCCAACACTAAATACATCACAGACAAATTTACTAAATGTGTAATTGTCTCCATGCTGCAGGATGTTTATTGAAAGTTGAAAATTTTTCAGGTGGTGAAAGAATTTCAAATATTTATGGCACTCAAAGGCTTATTACAATGTTCAGAGACATTCATAATTAGAATGTATTCTGAGAAAGTTCAATCCATTCCACATTCTCACACCCTACTTTTAAAATTCATGTTATATTATCCTCCTATCTATGCCAGGTTTTCCAAGTGATCCCAGCTCTTGAAGATTACTGACCAAAATTTGATATGCATTTTTATCTTACCACATGTTACACGTTCACATATCCTTCCTGATTTAATCTTTTGTGAAAAGTACATATTATGAAGCTTCTCGCTGTGCAGTTTTCTATATCCTTCTGTTATTTCATACTTCTTGGGTCCAAATATTTTCATCAGTACCCTGTTCTGAACTTAGATTTTGTCTTCAGAATGGTGGCAATATCACAAGTCATAAAAACTAAACTGTCAAAGATTGATTGATCTACCTTTCTTTTGTGTAACTCTGCAGTCCTCAGTGTGAATGGTTGTGGGCTAGTTGTAATATTATCATTCCATCTGTCTTCCAGCTCTTTCTGTAATTGTTCATGGCTTTTTTTATAGTTTGGGATTTTGTGTTTTCTTCTCTTTAGTCCGTCCGAATCGCTGTTATAAACTTCAGCAGAAAGTGCTTTAGCTTTGAACAACCTCTCCCTAGCTGCCATAGATGGGGGTAAAGAGGAAGACTTTAATAACTCTTCAGCTCGTATCTTCTTTTTTAGAGATCTGAAACAGTCAATCAATTGAAGTTCTTTAGATGTTGGTAATGGCATATAACTAAAGCATCTGAGAGGACTTAAAACTCAGGAATCAGTATATCAATCAGTTACATTTAGTCTAAGCTTTGACTTTTACCTGTAGTATTCATCTTCTCGCATTTTTTGATACACATAGCTGCTGAATAAATTCTTTGGCACTGGTTTGGCCTTGAAAGGTTTAGGTTTTGTTAATGTGTCACTAAAATCTCTTAAGTCTGGTGATGAGTGACACATCCTTAACAGCTTTCTTTCTTCATCACGTTTTGTAAATTGAAATGGCTTCATCTGAGCTCTCAGTTTATTCATGCACTGTCTCCTCACTTGCTGCCACCTACACAGAAAGATAGCAAGTTTCTACACTGCACAGTAAATGACAGTAACATGTAGAATTATGTGCTAAAGTGTGTGTGCATTATGTGCACTGTGAATGCTACATTTACCATAAAGTAACATAGCACTGTTGAATTTGTAAATTACAGTGTTATATTGCAATAATATATGATAACCTGTAAGCCATTTTAATGTTTCAAGAATTTTATATTTATAATCATTTAGGTCATCCTATCAGTCATAACATTTTATGTCATGACTGTAATGAATTTAATTAGTTTTAAGTGAATTATTTTAAACCTTCCTTTTAATCCAATGATAACATATGCTAACACTAGTTAATAACTGACATTAATAAATAGTAATGGACTGAGTGGCACATCAAAATGTCATTGAGGATGTCAGAATTGACATGTGTTCAGTATAAGAATGACAAGTGGATAAGAATTACTGTAAATACCATGATCAAAAAAATATTTAAATTAATATTAACTAAAATCTGGGATAAAAATTGAGACTGCTTAGTCTGAGATTGATATACTTGCATTTATTAGCATTTAATTTCATATCCCTCCCCATCCCCATCAGTTAAGCCCTAAATGGACCTACAGCTACTGGTGTTAATATTATATTACAAGGATTAACTAAATTGTGAATTTGTATAAACTAAATGGACCTACAGCTTCTGCTGTTAATATTAGATTACAGGGATTAACTAAATTGTGAATTTGTATAATTTATTAAAAGCAGTATTCGTTTATTTAGAAAATTATGTTGAAGTAATCATTCTTGCAATATGAAATTACTGAACTGTGTCCACAGCATTCAGCTCTCCGTGTTGGATTCCATCACATGTGGTAGTCTAATCCTTTTAGATTTTGGTTTAATTGTTCATTTAACTGAAACAAAATATACAATAAATATATAATAATAAAATGAACATGTTAACACATAAACTAAACAAAAAAAAAATTGCACCATAGCTGTGTAAAGTGCTGTTCCACAGAAATTAATTAACTCTGAAATAATACTTAGTAAATGAAAGGCAGTAACTGAAAATTTCCTAAAAACACAACAATGATCTGTTCCCCAAATAAGAATTAATGTTTATACACGTTTTATTTCATGAGGCCCCTCCATTATTAACAGACATGAATTTAAACAGTTTTATAGCCTATGATGTTAGAACAAGCACACAATAACGGTATATGCAAGCTGTGAACAGTACACATGCAAGTATTAGAAATACATTTCCCATCCTGTTCCAGCATGCAGTGTATGTATTTATTTGTGCTTCTGCATGTTTTCTCCAGTGAAACACTAATTTTGGTTGTTCCGCTCTAATTAAAAGTCAATGATGATGGTCATGTGTATTATCAGGGCTACAAAATTATGGTTTCTAACATTGATTTTAATATGTTGGCAATACCTTTCCATGTTACAGAATGACAGTTTACATGACTTCCTATTTTTTAATGTCTTTAATAAGCCTGTATCCTTTCTGCTCCTTGGAACTCTTTTCTTGGATTATGTGGTTTTCTGAGGGTTTTGGTTCAAAGTTCTGATTTCTGTTTTGAAATTTTAAAAAATGGATGACTTTAAAATAAGTTTCCATAAATTGTCTTCTCTTTCATGTGAAATATGTGATTAAGATAACCAGTGATTTCTAGTGCACTATATTACAGCTGTACCTATTTCCTTGTTCTGCCATTATTTTATCAAAGCGTGGCAACTGAGATTCAAGTGGAACTGGGTGAGCCCTAATGATTTTAGCTTCTTCTTTGGACTCATCCAAATTGTCACCACCATATAACTGATGCCACAATAAGTTTATGTTCCTCTCCTCTTCTTCCCTAAATATGAAAATGAAATCAGAGTACCAAGATGTTACTATGATCTTGTGAAGAAACAGTTAGGGAAAGCAAATAATCTTATTTAAGAATGATGTAAGTTAATTATGTATGGCCACTGATTATTTAATATCAGGAGCTAAGAATACTATAAGTGTTTTGAACAGTACAGTTTTCTACCCAGATCAGATATTTACAGAAATGGTAGAATCTATAAATACTTAGGAAACAGATTCTGCTTCTATTAAATGTTATGAAATAATGAAAATACCAAAACATATCAATTTATAAACTGTCTTGGCCTGTCAAGTATTAATATCATCACACTTGTCATGTAACCAGTTGCTAGGAACTTCTTCATCACTTATACTGACATGTTTTGTGCCAGTATTGAGCTAAAGTTTGAGCTCAATTAATGAAAGCCCTTGTGTTTAATCAAAACGAATGTGTGTTCTTGCATGCATACATGCACACACACAAACAAACAATAAAACCTTCTTCACTGATATTACAACATTTTTGTACTATTTTTTGTAAAGCAAACACAAGAAGTAAGATATAAATATCAGTGAGAATTGGATGATTGAGGACTTATTTTCTGCCAAGAGCAGAACTGTTCTCTTCATCACCATGTCCAGACAGACTCTAGGACCCACTCAGTTATTGAATGGGCAATGACTGAGGTGTGAAGTAGACGGACCACTCACCTCCATGTAGTAAGAAGTTCACGAGTATAAGGAGCATAACCTCCATATCTCTTATATACTTTCATGGCATAGTAACAACTTTAACTCTAATGGGAGTGTGAGAAAAGGAGGGAATGACTTCCATTGAGATTGATGTGATGGGTGCCAACTGTGGAAACCTAAATAAACTTACCTTTTTATGAAGTCTTTATATTACCTTAAAATAAAGGGCTTCACATGAAACATGTCTTTACTAAGCACTAAAACCTGTCAAGTTTCTGTTATGAGTCTTCCCAATAAAAATAAAAGTAAATTATATTAGACCTACCGCAAAGTCATGTTGAATGGTTTCGGAATAGTAATCTTTGGTTCTTGCCATGCAACAGTTTTGTTGTGTTTTAAAGCAGGACTATTCGGTACACTGCGTGGAACTGCTAAAGCTAACATATCATCTTGTTCACTGTCTGAATCAGAAAATAATTCTACCTTGGATACATAATCATCAAAACTGAAACCATCCCATAAATTGTCAATAGTGGAATTTGAGCTGTCTATCAATGTTCCAATTTTATTGGCAGGAGAAGTATGTGTATCTCTAATTTTGTTTGTGCCATTGGGCCTTTTCACTTTGATCTTGTATGAGGTACGTTGAGGTAGAGGGCCTTTAAATTTATGTTCCTTGTCAAGAACTTGACTAGAAGCCATATCAATTCCTGAAATTGTTTCTGATTCTTCAGTAGCCAGCACATAGTTATTCACCTGCATGGCAGACTTTGGATTAGTTCTTCCACTAATTTTATGGGTATCTTCCAAGGATACTGCAGGGACTGTTGGAGATATGTCATTATTACTGTCTAATTTATCCCAGAACAAACTACTATAAGAAGAATCTGAATATTTTTTCACCTTCCTCTGATATCCAACAGAATTTGGAACAATATTTTTGTCGTCATCTAAGACACACTTTTTGCTTTGAAGATTCAAACTGTCATTGTAATGTCTCTGCCATGTTTCAGATTGTACAGAAGTTCTCTTATTAAATTTATTTCTAGTACATAGTTTGTTTTCTTCCACCAATCCAACTATACCAAAATCTTTTTCACTTAAATCCTTTAAGTACATTCTTTGTTTTGCTTTTAAATTCTGAAGTCTCAAATAGAAATCTCGATCTGATAAATGATTTAAATCTCCATAATCTGGAATACTCTCATAGAAAGCAATAAATGATTGCAGAGATTCGTCATCTGTTGATTTACCCATGGTTTTTAATGTGGGATTTGTATTATTTTGATGTGTAGACGTCTCTGAGATCCTTTCTCTGGAGTCTGAAGATGATGGCTGGTCTGCACCAACAAGAAATTCGAAGCTTCTCGTCGTACCTTTGTTTGATCCTTTCTTGTTGATGTGATCATTTTCGAAATAATTTGAAACTCGTTTTCTTTCAAAAGTAGGTAATGGTAGTTTGTTTGCTGGATTAACTGGTACCTGAAGGCAGGAGTGGTTGAAGGCAGCGACCGTATGTTTTGCTGTCATTGCAAAAAAACAAACTCAAATGCTGTTGTTGTCGTCATAGCAACAGTTGCTATGGAAATGGAAACAGCATGGAGCCAACATTAACATAATGTACACAATTTAAAAATGCTTGTTTTATTACCAGCAATTACGTGGTTTCGTATTTCTTGTTTTATTGTATGCTAATGACTTATTGCTATAGGTAAATGAGCTCTTTGGGTATATAAGAATAATTACTAGTTGATGCCAATTTTTTGTTCCAAGAAATATCCTTGGGGATCATATTTAATGTAGATATTGGTAAACCTTGGAAGAAGTTGGGTTTGAGGTTAGAGAAAAGAAGAAGGTGCAAGTTAATAAGGTGTTCAGTGAGGGACGAAGATGATGAAACAGTCGCTAAACTTTTATTCTTGCATTCATGTTACAAAGAATATTTTCGCAAATAACATTTCATATCTGTTCAGGGAAGGTTCTACGTCAACAAATCTCTGCGATGAAAACAAGCATTATGATATTGTCGTTGCTGGCGGAGGGATGGTTGGAACGACGTTGGCATGTACTTTAGGTTAGGGCAGGTGGAATTTCTTTACCAGTTTATTGATTGAGCTTTGCCTAAATTGTATTCTAAAATTAGTTTAAGCCTTGAAGGAAACACGTCAACATCTTCATTCCCAGAGAGAGTCAGTGCCTTGAAGGTGCTTTAACTAAATCCATGGAGCAGAGCCATAGAGTAACTAATGGTCACTCAGTTGGTCAAATTCCTTGTCTTTTACGGAATCGGAGAGTTCACTATTATCCACAGGAGCTTACATACTTGAATGGAGCAGACTGGAATTTTAAGTCCCAAAAATATCCGTTTTGTAGTCTATCAAAACAAGCCCAATTATCCAAGAAGACTACATTACATGTAGCTTTGATGCAGGCTTAACAATTTATTAAGGTGACTGTCTTCTGGGGTGTTTCACCATTTAGTCTGGTGAAAGTAAAGCAGACTACATGGTGCAGCACGAAAGGAGACAGTAATGTTATATTTGCCACCATAAGAACCTGAAATCTCACCTTCATGTTTTATATTGATGTATTTTGTTATCTTGTAGTTTTACTGTTTATTTAAAACGTTTAAGTCAAATCTCATCGAAATATTATTTAAAAATATAGTCTACAATGCAAAGAAAGTGCAACACATCTGAATTACCAGTTGGTCAGTCCTTCTTAAGGAAATAATTGCTCTGTACTCTGAGAACTGTATGGAACCTATAAATAACATTATTTGGACATAATTCAGAGTTGCTGATTTTTAAAGGTGGTAGTACATTTTGTTACCCCTGGGTTTTAAAAAGTTAATGATGGTATTCCAGCTCAAGCACCAAGATTATCAGGCAAGAAGATTCTGCTTTTGGAAGGAAGCCCACAGCAAGCCAAGGACCTAAAGCCTCAGTACAGTAATCGTGTTTCTTCTCTGAACAGTGGTACAAAGTCACTATTGGAGTTGATTGGAGCATGGAAACATATTGCAAGTGCAAGATATAAAACTGTAAAGAAGATGCAGGTACAGTAAAAGCATGCACATAATTTATGTGAAACAGACTTTTGTGGCACAGCTGTCACTCTCTGTACAGACAATGAAAGAACTTCTCACTGAATGAGCTTTCATGTCATTTAATACTGGAGGCTCGTATTAACTCTTTCATTATCAAATTTCTCACTGAACATCCCTTCTTAGTAATCTTGTTTCGCAATGATTTTAAAGCCATGAAAAGGAGAAAGGAAAACTAAGAATGGCGATAACTTGTTGACATTTGACAGACAAATGCTTTCATTCACTAATAGGAGACTGAAGCATGTATGTAGAACTGTGTCACTACTACAGACCCGCTGTCATGTATGTGTTGCAGTAGGTGTTCTCTGATCTGTATATTTCAGGTGTGGGAAGCATGTTCAGATGCAATGATAACATTCAGTCATGATGACATGGCTGAGGACATTGCTTATATTGTGGAAAATGATGTGTTGTTAGCTGCCGTCAACAAAGAGGTTAAAGAACTGACTGAGAACCTTACAGTTATGCATGAATCTAAAATAAAGGGATATGAGCTTCCACAATGCTATGGAACAACTTGTGATGTTCGAGTTCACCTAGAGAATGGTCCATCTTATGTCTGCAGCTTATTGGTAAGTGTTGTTTACATTATTACTAAAAAAAATGAAGTGTCAGGTTCATTAGTATAAAAAATGAATGGAAACTCCCAGATATATGAAATATATCTTGAATTTTGTATTTTACAGGAACTTAACTAACCGTT